CAACCAGGTAGAATAAGATAGGAAGATATGTGAGGTTATTCTTGTGTACTCGCTTTTGTTGAGATGACTCCTTCGATATAAGGCCTGTGATGGTGAATGGAATTCTCTTTTTTAATTTCATGTAGGTGCTCAAGAGACCTTTTAAAAGTCTGAAGTGAAGTGTCATGGATCGACCACCTCATAATTATGCAGCAGCTTCTGCAATGGCATATGCCCAACAGCAGCGACAAGCAGCCAACATACCACAGCAGCAACAGTTTGGATTTCCTGGCCAACATCAACAGTTCCCGCCATCAGTTCATGGCCCTTCTTTCTTGCCTCCACATCCATCCCAATTCCCTTACCATCCACACATGCAACAGCAACCTCCACTACACCATCCTCCCCCTCCTCATGCTCAGCTTCTTCATCTCCAGCAGCAGCAACCTGCCTTCCCTTCACATTTGCCTCCTCACCTTGTTCCTTCACCTTTCCATGGTCTATATGATTCTCCTCCACCACCAGCAGCTCCCCCATCTGACCCTGAGCTCCAAAAGCGTATTGAAAAACTCATTGAGTATTGTATTAAGAATGGCCCAGAATTTGAAGCAATGATCCGTGAGAAGCAGCAAGATAATCCTGATTATAGTTTCCTCTTTGGTGGTGAGGGCCATGGTTATTACAGATACAAGCACTGGTTATCTACACGCCCACCAGGTGGCCCCTTTAATCATCCTTTTCCTTCCTCTATTCACCCTCCTCCAAATGCTGTTATGAATCCTTCTCTAAGCGGTCCTCCAGTTAATGCCACTGCTCCTGCTATTGGGCCAATGGGTGGTCCTCAGATGCACCAACCTCCTTTTCCTCCATTCTTTGATCAACAGCACCACCATCAGCACCCTCAGGCTTTTGCAAGTCATGCTCGACCAGATTACGACCAGTCTTTCAAAGGTCTTGCTGGTCCTCTTCCTTCTGATGTTTCAATTGAGCTTAATAATGTGCTAAACAATCTTAGTGGTACCAAAGAGTCAATCAAAAATGCCAAGATTTGGTTCCTGCAGAGATCTCCATTTGCCCCAGCTTTGGCTGAGGCAGTTAGAGACAGGATCTTTGCTTTGGATGACTCTGAGAGGCAACTACACGTAATTTACCTTGCCAATGACATTTTGTTTGATAGGTAAGTTTCCAGTGCTAATTAGTTGCCTTATTTTCACACTGACTCTTATTTTCATTAAAGTTTATTTTATATTGGGTCTGCTTTTGGCCCGCTTCTTAATTGCTGGTTAACATGTACAACTTTTTCCACCTTTGAAGAAGCTTACATTTAAGTTCAATTATAGCTAAGTTTGTAGCTGAGTTCAATTATAGCTTGTCATTTCTAGCCATGTATGGTTTTATGAAGAATATTTGAAGGTTTTCAAATCCGCTTTTGAAAAAGCATAAATTTAAGTTTTTTGTTCAGTATATGAGAAAGCCATTAGATCTCTTATGCTATTGCTTTTGTGTTGGTGATGGTGGTTCTCTTGTTGCTGTCTACTGCTGTTTATATTTCTGCTTTTGACATTTGTCTTCATTGTTTTCAGCCTGCAACGGCGAAGCAATCCTCATGAACTTGATAATGAAGCCCTTGCATTTAAACCTGTTTTAGGTTCAATGCTAACAAGAATCTACCACAACCCTCAAAACAAGGAAGAAAACCAGCCACGGTTAGAAAAAATCTTGCAGTTCTGGGCATCCAAGGAAGTTTATGATCAAGATACTATTAATGCGCTTGAGGATGAGATGCTGGGTGGTGTGCCAACTAGTTTTCCTGGGCCTCCAAGGGAACCATCTGCAGCTTCAGCTGATTCCTTGATGCATGGTACTTTTTCCCCTGTAATATAAATATAAAAAAAAGAATGAGGCATTGATACGTTTGATTGCATTTGTTTCTAATTTCATGTTCTTTTTCCTTTTTGTCTTCCAAATTATTTTGTGCAGGAATGACACTGCAAACAACAAACCATAATATCTCACAATGGCAGCCTGATAAACCAAGTATTGTTCCAAATGTACCTGATCTAGAGCACCCTGACAAACAAGGAACCGCTCAGCAATTTGTTCCAAGTGCAGCCCCTCCTGGTGCTTTTCCAGGGTCTGTGCCCATCAATTCTTCTATTCAACCAGCAAGCCAACAACCCATATCCCATTTATTGCCTGCCCCAACTGCAAATATGGTTGAAAAATTGCCCCCATATCCACTCTTTCCCCCTGGTCTTATTCCTGGAATGGTCAGAAAGATGCAGATTGGCAGTGGGGTGCCTTACTCCCCATTGAGTCCATTGGACATTCCAACAGTTATACCTCCATCCACTATGTCACCATCAGAAATTCTCGAAAGAGTTTCAAAGTTCTTTAAAGAGATTGGAGAGGTAAACCCTTCCGAGGGACCACTGAAATCTGATGCAGGAGATGAAGATTATGATGAGTATGAGATAGAGCCTCCTGTTCGCAAGGGAGGGGCTTGCATCCCTCCACCTTCTAATTTGCAGGTAGATCCAGAGACAGGTACTTACGCCGATGGAAGTGTAGAGCGAAAACCAGGGTCTACTGGGTCTGGAAGATTGGGACTTGGGGCAACAGCTAATCCAAATGAGGCTAGTCAATATGATGATGTTTATACCTCTTATAGAAAACAGAGAAGTACATCGTACCATTCATCCATGAGTGCCAGAGCTGCTACAAGGTGAAAGTTTTTCAAATATCTCATAGATTATTTACAAGTATGGTGGAAACTGTATACTTTGTTACCTTGCTTCTCTACTGTTTTCTTTTTCCCTAATTTTGTCCTCCAACTTTCCCAAAACTGAGTTCTTAGAGCATGTAGCGTGAGTAATTATTTTTAGCATGTAGCGTGAGTGATTATTTTTACATAGTTAGAATCTCTAATCTTGGCCCCTCCATCAAAGTTTTTAAAATTTAGTATGGATGTCAATTCGGTTAAAGCAATGGCATATATATTTGATCACCCTTGTAGAGCCTGTTTGGTTTGAGGTGAAAGGGGAGGGAAAATATTTTGTCCAATCAAAGGGACAAATTTTCGTCCAATTAAATTAGAATGTTGAGAAATTTTTCTTTGTTGGTAACTAACAAACAATATATATAGGAATGAAAAATGGTCAAAACTCATTTGTAACCTTATCTTACATCTTAAATCTTAATCAATTCCCTATACATGTTGGATCCAAACAATCTTCGGTACACATTTTGGTTATCTACAATATAAAAAATAAATTAAAAAAAAAGATGAAAAAGAGGACTAAACATATTTGACAACTTGATACATTGATCGAGCCAAGGGCAAGCCCCTTCATGACCCACTATCAGATTGCGTACAATTGCGAGGGCCACTCAGTTGTTCCTGCAAAACGTAACCTGATTAATAAATCATATCTGTGGTGGCATTGCTACATTTTGTCCAATGAAATGTCAACTTACTGATTGTTGTGAAACTTGGCTGTGCATTGGTGATGCTCCTTGACTTCCACCTGCAAACAAGCTCGAGTCCATGGTTTCGTCTGCAAGGGCTCTCAATTTGTTCAGTACTGGCAATGCAACTTTGCCCAGGTCTGGTCTGTCTTTTCGCCTTAACTCTGCACATTGGAGTGCAATCTTTGCAAACACCAAGGCCTCTTCCACCGGCCAATCTGGAACTGCCGGGTCCAGCATCTCGGTGAAGGTTCCCTTCTCGATGGAGCGCTCTACATGGTGAGTCAATCCCATTGCTGGTTTGGCCGTGATGATCTGCAGAAGCATGATCCCCAGAGAGTATACATCAGACTTGACACCTAGCATGCCTGTCTGCTGGTACTCAGGATCTATGTAACAAAAAGTTCCTGCTGTGGATGTCATGCGATACTGCGTTACATTCTCAGCGACTGACGGAGGGACTAGTCTAGCCAACCCAACATCGCTAATCTTGCTCACGAAGTTGCGGTCCAGCAAAATGTTCCCAGGTTTCAAGTCACGGTGGACTATAGGCTCTGGTTTGGTCTGGTGGAGGAAGAGCAAGCCTGTGCCTATTTCGGCTGCAATTCTGAACCTGAGCTGCCAAGAGAGTGGCGGAGTGTTTCCTCTCCTGAACAGCCTGTCTTCTAAGCTCCCGTTGGACATGAACTCATAGACCAAACATCCATACTCCGGACAGGCTCCCAAGAGTAGAACCATGTTAGGGTGTCTTATGCAGCTCAATACCTCAACCTGGAAAATCCATCCATCAGTTATATATGCACACACAGATAAAACCAACAAGAGCTCAAGCAAGTTGCTACAAAATGATTTCAAACACATTATTTTGAGATTAAAATTGGGATTGAATTATCAGCAATGTCTAATCACTAACTTCTCTCACAAACCTCTTGATTAAATTGTGACCTTCCTTGAGCTGCATCTGGCCGTAAAACCTTGATTGCAACAGGTGTGTGATCCAAAAAACACTTGTATACAGGGCCATACCCCCCTTCTCCAATCTTGCGGGAATCTGAAAGAAACTCCGTGGCAGCTTCGATCTCCTCTATTGTGTACTTCCTGTACCTTATATCTCCTTGTGCTAGCTTGTCAAGTGCCCTTATTTTCTCTTCTGATTCTTTGAGTGCTTTCATTTCTGCATTAATTCTCTTCTGTGCCTCTAATTCTGCAATCCTCTGAGATGCTTCAGCTGCCTCAATTGCTGCTCTAGACTTTGCTTTTTCCTTCTCCACAATAGCCAATGCAGCTTCCTCAGCCAGCCGTGCCTCTTCCAGCCTCTTTTCTTCCTCCAATTTCCAAAGCTGTAGTTCTTTAGCCTGTAACAGACATCATTGAATCAGAATTCAGATTTAAGAGCAAGGTATTATAAAGGGCATAAAAGATGATTCATGTTCAATCTTATATATACCTTCTGTTTAGCTGTGAGTGCTTCTTTGCAGGCTGTACTGTACATCTCCATGGTTTGCTTGAGCTCCAGCTTTAGCCTCCTCATTTCAGCTTCAACATCATCCTGTTATTTTCAACAAAAATTCCACACCATTATTGTTCATAATTTGCACTTTGTTGAATCAAAAGGATCATAATCTGCTCAATTACCATGGAGGAAGATGAAGCTGATGGGCCGTCACTCTCCTGGGAAAAAGAAGAGAATGTGGGTGGAGATCCAATATCTACAGATCTCCGGCCAAGCTGCAAAGACTCTACACTTGAATTGTTGTCAAACTCTGAGAAATTAGACAGCCGAGGAGGTGTCCGGTTGTTTGATTCGCTGTCATAGAATGCAGGAAATATGCGATCAACGCTAGGCCTGCCGCTGGTGACGAAGGATATGTCTGTATCCGGTGTTGGAAGCTCCGCATAGGATTTTCCGTTCGCGCCTCTTCTGGTGAAAGGTGACCGGAAGGCTTCCATTGATTCCGTTGATCTCTGAGGCGGTTCCATTCCCGGCCTTTCAACTGCACAAATTAAGTTGATCGGTAGAGATGACTGTGAACTTAATTATGAATGTTGAAACTAACAGATTAACATACCTTTGCCGGTGATGGCTGGAGCCATTAACGTCTCGAATCCCGGAGGAGTCGGTTTCAAGCTGGACTGGTTGACAAGCTGATTCCGCAACGGAGACACAGACGGAGCCGGTCTGGACGCCGATCGCATCGATGAAATCTTGCCTTTGGCTATGACATATACGGTACAAAAATCCGGTGCACTTTTCGTTACAGTGCCCGGAATGTCCATTGCTCTGAATCTTTTGAGACGAAGCAATTTCTCAATTTAATTAAGTTTCCAGTGAAATTCACACAGATTGATCGAAAAATTGAACAGAGTAGGTACATTACCTAAGAAATCCTGCTTTGGCGGTGGCTCCGATGACCAAAACCTCAATCGCTGCGTGCGTTACGTATTCGATCAATGCCTTCGTAACGTCCGATTCTTCTAGAACAACATCTTTGCATTGAATCTGAGGAATTTCGCTGTTAATTTATTGTTGCAGAAGAAAGAAATAAATAAATAAGGAACGGGAAATGCTTACATCTTTTCGAGTACAAAAGCAGCGGAAAGGAAGGAAGAGCTCCTTGGTTTGGGGATCGGGATCTTTGCATACTATTGGAAGTTCATCGGAAAACTGGTTCGTCCCTGCAACGCAGAGAAGTTTACATCAAGAGGTGGAAGGATTTACCACCGGAAAATGGAATTAGAAACTTACAGGGAGTGGCTATAGAAGGCGAGCTAGAGAAGGAGGAGGAGGACTTGACTTTGACATGGATGAGAATAACGGCTTGGCCTTTCTGGAGGACATGATCGATGGCCCATTTCAAGGCGTTTTGGCTGTTTTTGTCTTTGTCTATAGCCACCGCCACCAAGCTGCTACCACGACCACCACCATAGGCTACCTGATCTCTTCCGCTGTGATTCCTCAGCCCTGACATATCTCTGTTTGTCTACAATTAATTACACTTCAAATTCTACGAAAACGAAAGTAATTTCTCATCTCTCTCAGGATGGCCAAGAGAGACAAGGCGGCGAACAGAATCTTCCTCAATTAGATGTTATGCAGTTTGTTATAAGGTAATTTGAATTTTTGTACGAATATAATCTCACAAATTAATCACCACACAGACATTCTTATTTACGCAGAGACCGCCCTTCTTTTGCGGATGACACACTAAAACAATGTTATTGCTATCTTTAGAACTCAGCATTAGTAATAGAAACAAATGGACTCATGTAATGCTTCTTCGAGTTCCACACCTGAAATGAAGGTTGTAGTCATAGATTGTTTAGGCAGCTTCACAAACTCATATTATAGAGATCACGAACCGCTCCAATACTTAAAAACCTCAAAGATGTTTCCTTGAGACAGACACTCACGGTCAAATTAGCTATATTCTATAATCTAAAGAGAAAAGCTCTCAAGAAAAGATATTGCAGAAAGAAAAGCTTAATGGAGTTATTACTTTACATGGAGGTAGTTGGGGTTTTTATAGACTCATGCATGACAATGGTGTCATGTGTCGCTGCTCTATTGGTAAACTTGTCCTTGGTCATGTGGATCATCATGATTATTGTGCACGCACTTTTGGGTTTTTGTATGGTCTTTTGGTCTTTTGGTCTATTTGTTGATGTTGGGCCTATTCCCCAATATAGGTCACCAGAGAATGCCCAAAACCTCCCTTGCGTCTTGCAACAATCACACGAGTAAGCTTTTGCCATGTCCAATTTAAGTATGTGTTTGTGTTTTTTGTCCTTAACCTGAAATGGCAATGCATCTCCTTCCTTTTTCAGGCTCACTTCTATCTCTGGATCAACCCTGGAATGCCTTTGGTGTTGAAGATTCTAAATAGGTCCTGTCGTGTTCTGTCGACAAATGGGATTGCCATGCCATGCTGCCTATATTCAGATCAAATTTCGGTTGGTCTCTTTCTGGGAAAACTAAAGTCACTTCAAAACGTTGTCCTCTTGTGGAAATGAGCTCGTTGTAAGCTTCTTCGAGTAGAGTGAAGGCGCGGCAGGGGGGACACCAGTGGGCACCGAAGTACAGCCCTACTGTCGTCTTACCAACAAGACCGGTGCCTGCAATAGACACAACAGAGTAAGTTTCCCTAATGAACCGTGAAAAACAAAAATACACTGAACTAAACCAATTACCTTTCCACCATCCCTAGAAAAAACATAATCACGGTCTTCATGAGCCAAAAGTTCTTCTAATTTAAAATTGAAGGTGCTCTTTGCAAAAGTAAAACAGAAACATGGGATTCGGAAAGGATAGGGGTGATCCATCCAAGTGTAATGTAAGAGAAGGAGCATTTGACCCGAAAACCGTTACAACAAAAGTAGCACTTGTCTATTGAAATGAATCGGATACCAAATTTCTAAGCTATGAAAAATCATTGAAATATGAATCCTGATTAACCCAGTAACTATCAAGAAACAGTGAGTAATTCCGAAATACAGAACGCAGAAGATAAAAACAAGAAGCAGCACAGCAGCACCTTAAAGTTGACAGTGAAGGGCAAATTCCAAGAAGCCACAAATTGGAAGCTGAATAAGGGCTGATCACAACATCACACATCAAGATTCAAGCATGTCCACTAAAGTATGTACCATGTCCTGGGAATTGGATTCTCTTAGCTAAATCAGCTCCCCATTTTCCTTCATTTGTCAGCTATCTATAAGATGTCACTTTAGATAACAATTACATAAAAATTTAACATATAGCTCCAAATGACTTGAGTTCGAAAATTGAAGTCAAAGATTAACAACAATGGATGATCAAGCATTGGATAAATGTAATGTTTGATTTCTTTCCCATTTATTTGAACATGTCTGAATTGAATTACATTGAACACATATGATTAAAAAACAGCAGAATCCTGTACCAGGAAAAGTTTGATCTGATCCAAGTCTTCCCCATATTATACATAGATTTGCAATCCACATAATTCAGAAAATAACACAGCAAGAAAACAAAATTAAAGGAAGAAGCTTTTTCCACCTCAATACATCAATCTCCATTGCTACTGTTGAAGTTTCCTCATTGCAGTATGGATCAGATCAACCATTTACAGAGAAAGAAAACATGTCTTTTGTCATTGCTGTGGATGAGTATAACTCCCTTTCGCTCCCATATGAGTAATCTTCAATGCTATCATCAGAACTGCCCCTCTCCTTCAACTCTTCAAGCTTCTCCAACGGCATTTTCAGTTCCGACCTCTTCTCCACATTCCATTCACAGCAACACATCCCAATCTTCAACAGCTTCAGCATCTCACCCTCACTTCTCTTCCATTCCCTCATATCCTTATCAAACACCTCCCCTGTCCACTCTTCCCTCACAACCAAGTTCACCCAAGTTGCTAAATCCACATTAGCACCCTTTCCTTGCCTCAGATAGTTTTCCGGAGCCTTCCCCATTAGGAGCTCCAGAATCAGGATTCCCAGGCTCCAGACATCAGTCTTCCTGGTGGTCTGGTCGTGTTGGGTGGATTCAGGGGACTTGAATGCCACCATGAATTGTTGGGCGTGATCTCTGTTGACGACGGGGACCAAAGCCACTTCATATCGTTGCACCTATTCTCAATTGGTTTTACATTTGATGCATGTCTAGTATTCGAGTTTGGTTGGGGTTTATTTTTTAACATTGATAATAACATTGACGTTTAAATATATGAATACCATATTCTGTGAAAGATTTGGGGGTCTTTAATCTAGACATTACCGTCCATGTCAAACGTTGGTGCTGAGACAGCCACTTCATATGGATCTTTTGCACCAAAATGACATATGGCACTTGGTAATCCACTCTCTGAAGAGCATTATAGAACTCGACAAAATTTTGTGGCCATGAATGGGTGGACATGTGAGACACAAGTCAATTGACCCGTGACACCTCATGTTGTTGAACAAATTTGGAGGGTAAAGTATTAATTCATTAATTGAGTAATTAGTTCATTGCATGAGAAGAAGATTAAGAAAAGAATATGATAATGATGTGACTAACCAAAAGCAGCCATAATTACCTTTATTCTGATCTTTCCCTAGCTTTATTGCTTTCAGCATAGGTTCTTTCTTAAAATTGTGAATTTGTGAGACTTTTGTTATGAGATAAGATTGTGTGTGAATTATTTTTTATTAATCACTGTTATTAATTAACAAAATTTTTTCTTCTAAAAGGCATATTGCTATCAATGGCATAATTATAGTACCAAGCAACATGTTACTTTTTGCAACCATAAAAGGCTTCCTAATGTCACAGGCTCCATCACTCTGTTTTCATCTTGTAACAAAAAATGAACGCTAATGCCACCACAAATTCGCCACTGCCGGAAACCCACATTGACGACCATTTCTCCGGTCAGCAACATGACCAACCAAACGTACCATTGCTACTCCAGCCATCTTATGCCAGATCAAAATCCCTACTCTTTGATGAGCTCCGCAACTTCAGAATCTGCCTCAAATGGTGCGCACTGGACCACTCCTCCTGCATTGGCAAACTCATCTCATATTTCATCTTCGTCTTCCTCGCAATTGTAGTCCCCATCACAAGCTCCCTCTCCGTTAAACTCTCACCCTCTTACGCTTCCTTCAACCTCCTTGTTCAGTTTCCCGAATCATGCTTAGCTCTGTTAGGATTCTTCACCCTCTGCCGCTTCTTCAGCCAATACGGGTTGAGGCAACTCCTGTTTCTCGACGCATTACAGGAGGATTCCAGATTTGTCAGGCGCGGTTACACCCGAGAGCTTGACAAGGCCTTTCGTTTCCTTGCGTGCATACTCCTCCCATCGTTCTTCGTAGAGCTTGCCCACGAGATCTTCTTTTTCTCCAGGGTGAAAATATGCCTCCCTTATGTCAATCCTGGCGTACCCCTGAATTCAATTATGTTTGTTTTGGTGCTTGGATCATGGGTTTACAGGACAGGGGTATTTCTGTTAGTCTGTGTTCTGTTCAGATTAACATGTGAGCTACAGATTCTAAGGTTTCAAGGACTGCATAAGATGTTCGAAGGATGTGGGTCTGAAGCAGGGGAGATATTCCAGGAACATATGAGGATCAGAAAACAATTATCCATTACAAGTCATAGGTATCTTTCTAAATTTGACCATTGAATTAAATTAGTTAGTATAAACTCGACTAAGCTTCTTGTTGGTTTCAGATATCGGTTTTTTATCATTGCATCGTTGGTCGTGATCACCGTGAGTCAATTCGTGGCGCTGTTGCTGGTACTGGCTTCAAAATCAGACAAGAGTTTCTTGAATTCGGGTAACCTGGTGGTGTGTTCAGCCGTTGAGGTGAGCGGCTTCTTCCTCTGCTTGTTAGGTGCGGCAAGAATCACACACAGAGCCCAGGGGATGGCTGCCGTGGCCAGCAGATGGCATATGAGCCTGACAGCTGCTGGGTCACGGCAGGAGAAAGTTCGTTACCACGGCGCCGATAGCAGCCTGCTACCGTTTTACAAATGCGGCGGTGACAGTGACTCTGATTCCTCGGACATACTCATCACAATTGCCTCATCACAGGACCCATCATCCTTCCAAACCAGGCAGGCTTTAGGTAAGTATTTACTCATTACAGTCTTCTTTTTTCTTTTTTTTTTTCGTTCTCTTTGCTAAACTTATGTTAGTAAACAATGCTATTTAGAGCTAAAACGTGATGATTAACTGTACTTACATAATTTATCACCTAATTTGGTATGCATCCGCACTCATTTAATGGTAACTGTTCGGATTCTTTTTTAGCCTACTTTATTATTTGGCATGAATTTCATTGCATGCATTGATTATAATTTTTTTATGTCATGTATAAACAGTCTTGTATTTCCAACACAACAAGGGAGGAATAACGCTGTTTGGATATGCTCTAGATCGAGGACTGCTTCATACAATATTTGCATTTGAGTTCTCATTAGTGATGTGGGTTTTAAGCAAGGTGGTGGTCTTATCTTAGTTAGTTACCCCATCAATTTGTAACGTAACACCAAACTTCATGTATAACCCTTTTCATCAATAAGTGAATTGCTATTTAATAATGGCAGTTGCACGTTGGTTTGTGATTAATTTGCAACTACAGATAACAGACAACTTCTATGTTTCTATGCTTCGAAGAAATCATGGATTTATATGAAGAAGAGTAACTTGCAAACAAAAGGACTCCATGGCCCAATGGATAAGGCGCTGGTCTACGGAACCAGAGATTCTGGGTTCGATCCCCAGTGGAGTCGTTCAATTTCTATTTTCTCCTTAATTTTTTATCACACAAATCCCTCTGGGCCAAATCAACCTGCAGATGCAGACAATCTGCCTTCCCGACCAGCATTACCTGAGGGGTTAAAAGGACAAATGGAAATATAGAACTCCAGCTTCGTGGATACTTCTTCATAAAAATAAAAAAGGAAAAGAGCAGGAACAAGACATGCTAGCTTTATTGATCGAAACAAAATTAGGGAGACAGATGTTCCCACTCTCACTGGCACAAAGATGCCAATAACATGGTGATGGAAAGGTTAGCACCATTTCACATTGCTACTAGACAAGTAATTCCAATGTTAAACTCTTTTACCATAACTATTCATGTTCTTCATCTTCAGCAAGTTGAGAGAAGTGGTTGAGGGTGCTCAGTATATTTCCAAGGCACCCAATAAGCTTGTCTGCTTGATGCCTTATGGATTCACCTTGGAAGTGCTCCACTTTGTTCAAATCAGTACCCCTGTAGTCTGAATTCTGACCAAGACTTTTCTCAACTATGGCATGAATCTCTTCTGCATCCTCATAAAGTTTTGCCACCAATATCCGCTCCCTTTCTTCAACACTAATCATATGCCTCTCTTCAGCATGGCTCTTTTGAGGATTATCTTCTTTACTTGCCTGATGTTTTTCTTTTCTTTCAATTGCATGAAGCTTTTCTTTTGCTCGACCTCTCTGAGCATTTTCTGCCACATGTTTCACCGGCTCTTCCATTGCAAAACAATTCTTAGGTTTTACTTCAGCATGACTATTCAGAAGCATCAAATTTCTTCTTTGCTTTTTGGACCCTGATAATTCTGGATAACAAGAGTGCATGGCATTACAAGATCAGCATCAATGGTTCTGAAAAACAACAGAATCTTCAATACTTTCAACATGCCTAAACTCAAACACCAAACTAGGTTCATGGGATAATATATTCAATAAATGAAACAAATTAAAAATTTTAGCTACTCAAATCTCTCAATATCTCCCTGAATAACAAACCTAAAATGTAGCACATTTCAATGATCTCATGCTTTATTAAAGAAGTGGTACTGAAGCGAGCACCTATAATGCGAAAATGGTAAGCAATAAAACTAGGACCCCATATTTTGAGCTTACCCATGATAATAAATGACTGTAATTGGCAGTTTGGCACTTACTACATGAGAAAAGCTTATCCTTAAGTTATGTAAAACATACCTAGCTCTTCCATTACTTCATGTGGATCCTCCTGTGCTTCTGGATCACTGTCTCGGTCAGTACCTGATTCACCATCCTTTGCCCTGGCAACTGTGTCAATTGCTTTAAACAACTCTTTGTCGAAATCTTCTGGAAGCCCACACACTTTCCTCCTATCAATTCTCAAAGACCAATACGAATTACTTCTAGACTTGGACTCCCATTGCTTGATCTTGTTGTACTGACCAAGCAATGAGTCCCACTTCCTCCGGCACTGGTCTAAAGACCGTGGTACACCGAAAGCATTGCAGTTTTCCACAACCATTTTCCACTTTTGAAAGGTGGAAAAAGCATTTGAACAATCCATCTCAACAACAGCAATCTCATTGACAAGAATGAGTGCATGCTCTGGTGGCCAATCGGGTGCTGCCTGCGAACGTGTTCGTCGAGTGCCCGAATGCTGCAATGCGTTGTCCTCTCCATCTTCCATTTTGACTTCGTTTTCCTACTGAAAGTCTGAATCTGAAATTGATAAATCAAAACCCTATCTAACAGAGAACTCCAGCTGAAGAACAATGAAAATGACAGTACAAAAATCTAACAGATAAAAAGGAAAAATTGTAGTGTTAGGGTTTCGATTACAGAATTGATCAAAAATCAATGCGGAAATCGGTGCATTGTTGATTGGGGGGAGAAGAATCAACAAGTAGAACCGTCGGAATGCAATTCTCGATGAAGTGAAAATGCAATGTGAGATCTTAAGGAGAAAGAAATTACCAGTTTGAAAGAAACACCATGCCGGAGCGGAGGAGATCATCGGCCGACGACGATTTTACACTGCCGATGCTCCGATACGCTTCTTTGGGTTTCTGCTTCTCCACGCCCGAATTTCGGTATAGCGTCCGGGTCTGCTCGACCCGGTTACTGGTTCGGTAACGGCCTTATGTGTCCAGTGGGTGGGCCCGAAATGTTTGGTCCATAGTTTGGAAGGCGCCCCAGGCCTGCTTGGGTTCAGGGCCTGATGACAATAATTTGAGCCTTTTTCTTCTCACAACTACCTTCTTTTTTTTTTTTTAACATTTTCTTTTTCAAATTTTTTTAATATTTATTTTGAGTCCCTAATGGGTGGCAAACAAACTACTCTTATCTTCTTTTTCTTTTTTTTTTTAACTGCTGACTTCAAATTTTTTAATATTTTATTTTGAGTGCATTACGAGTAGCAAACCACTGATATCCCTTTTTTTTCCACGTCAATATATTATGGGATCTGAACTGTAACTCTCTTATGCAGCTTTTGTTAGAAAAATAATTGCTGAGTCATTTTAGGAGGTGGCTTCCTTTATTGCCAAACTTTCATTGCATCAAAATCAACATCACGCGAATAGTTGTAATTATTTACAATAAATTATTCTTTTGCCATTGATAAAATAATGTTAGTAGTTAGTTAAGCTTTATTATTGGTATTATTATTATTATTATTATTATTAAAATTTGTTTAATATATGTTCTAAAAGTATAGATTAAATTTTATTAATTAAGAGATTTAAAATTAATTTTATATAAAATTTCATACTAACGTTATATATTTTACAAATTTTGAGTATAAATATTATATTATATTTTAATTTTAAATTTTATTTTAATTGAATTTGATATAAAAACTTATTAAAAATTAATTACAAATATTATAATTAATAACGATTAACATGTTTTTTAAAGGTATAAATTACAAAATTTTTTATTGTTATTAGGAATTTTTTAACTTATACTTCAAAAGTACTTTTTTTTTTAACAAAAAAGAAAGGAAAAAAAAATATAAAAATTGATATTAATTTTAACATTAATGTCAAACAAATGAATTTAAATAAACAATTAATAAATTAAGAATCAATTTTATATTTTTTAATATAAATTTATAATAAAAAAATGTACTTATTACATCCTAAAATATAGATTATAAAACCCTTTATTTTTATTTTGGCCTTTAAGAGAAATGGAGAAAATAAATGAGAGA